TTTCTTTCTTTCTTTCTTTCTTTCTTTCCTTCCTTCCTTCCTTCCTTCCTTCCTTCCTTCCTTCCTTCCTTCCTTCCTTCTCTCTCTCTCTCTCTCTCTCTCTCTCTCTCTTTCTTTCTTTCTTTTATTTTTTTGTTTTTTCTCTGTGTAGTTTTGGTGCCTGTCCTGGATCTCGCCGCCGCCGCCGCCGCCGCCGCCACCACAGTCGCCTGGCTGTTTTTGTCAGTACTTTGATGTGTGGTTGCGCACATTAGACAAGTGCTCCATGATTAAACTGGCCCCCTCCTCCCCGCTTCGCCTCTCTGGTAAACATGTTTGCCTCGCTGCAGCCCTCAGACCCCAGTGGACCCCCTTCAGGATCCTGGCCTACGGTTTCCCTCTTTGGGTCTCTTCCTGGCCAGGAGTTCATGGTTACAAACCCTCCATGCTGTCTGCAGACTGATTTCTGTATTTTAGTTTAGATTTTAAAAATATTCACTTAAATTCTTGTGTAAGTGTGTGTGGCTGAGTGGATGTAAGTGCAATGCATGTGTGCAGGAGCCCAAGGAGGTCGGAAGAAGGGTCAGGTCCCCAGGAACTGGGACAGACACCTGTGGGTCGCCTTGGGAATGATGGGGGCTGGATTGGCAGGAGCAGTGAATGCTCCTAACCCATAAGCCATTTCTCCATCCTTAGCTTTGTTTTGTTTTTAAAACAGTCTGCTTCTTTGGGGATACTAGCTGTAAATACTTTTGAGACAAGGTCTTATGTATCCCAGGCTGGCCTTGAACTCCCTCCCTGTACAGCTGAGGTTGTCCTTAGACCCCTCATCTGCCTGCCTCTGCCTCAGAGTGTTTGGGGTTACAGGCAGGCTCTTCATGAAGTGGGTGCAATCCAGTCCAGTGCTTCACGCATGCTAGGCGAGCATCTTACTAACTGAGCTACATCCCCTGGAGTATTCTTTTGGAAACTAAATTCGGGCCAGTTGTTCCATAACTCCTGCCTCGTGGAATATAACCGATGGGCGGGCCAGAAGGCTGCCTCTCCGTGGTTCCCTCAAAAGAGCTCAAACATGATGGAGCCTTGCTCTCTAGGCGCCGCTCTTCCTACCCTAGCCTTTCCGCGTCTCTTCGGAGAACACGGCCTCAGCATCCGCTCAGTACACCAGCACTGTGTTTTCTGGCCCCTGGATGGAGTGCCACAGAACTCAGAGCCTTCCTTCTGTAACCTGTGTATCTCACACAAAGCCCCTTCACCTCAGCATTCCCGCTTCCATTTCGGTTTGAAGCTGTGGACTGAGATGTGACTCCGGAGGCTTCGGACTTGCTCTGGGAACGTGATCCCCTCACGCTCCCCTCCGCAAATGCTGGTTTTATTTCATCTGAAGGAAAGGGGCCTTTAAACTCCCGACCAATTGAGGGACATAAGCAGGAAAGGAATTTGCTTTTCTTAGAAATAAAAAGTCGGCCTTTCCCCAAGCAATGAGATGCCCCCAGAATGGGAAAGGTGGGTTGCTAGTCTTTCTGCATTCAGTATACACTTGAATCTGGTCAGCTGAATACCAGTTATCAGTGGATGGATGGATGAAAGAGGGGGAGGAGGGGGAGGAGGAGAAGGGCAGGGCTGGCAGGAAAAACCATTTTGTCGTCCCCCCCCCCCGCCCCCCGTTTCTGGTTCTGGAATATCAAGATTGCACATATAGCCAAACAGCCTTGCCAAACTTGGTTTGTCTGGCAATTGCCTCACACGTTCTGGAATGCGTTTTTTTGTCATCTGGAGTCCCCTCCCCTTCACAAGCCCAAGCTATTCTAAGCACTGATTTATTTGTTGTTGACTTCATCACTCACTTTCCTTTATCCTGTCCCTCAACTCCCTCCAAACCTCGCTCTCCCCTCGCCCTATCACCTCCCGCCCAGCACACCACCCATCCAGAGCGAGAGCTCGAGGCGGTGGTGTTCTTCTGGCCCAGAGATCCCAGTCGGGACCACACATCGACCCTCCTCGGGAAGAGGGCGAGATCCCCGCCACCGCTCGGTTTTCTTTCAATGGTCTGTGCAGCCAGAGATGCCCGTTTCCCCAAAGGCTGCCCCTCATTAGCATGAACGGGGGTGTGGGGGGTGTGGAGAAGGGGTGGGGGGAGAGGAAGCGAGCCAAAGCCCTTGCTGCGTTTTCCAGCCCTGGGAACCCTGTCTACAAAAATGACAGCTCGAGCCCTCTGGCTGCTCTGTTTGATCATCGGATGGTCCCCCGAAGCCCCGGTGGCGGAGAGAAAAGGTGAGGTCGCTGAAACGCAGCGCCCCAGGGACCGGGAAAAGGGCGCGATGCAGGGCGGGACGAGCCAAGGGTCAGAGCCTGCGGGACAGGCGACTCCGGGTCTACGTGCGTGCCAGCGAGCAGCGACAAGGGTCCCCCAAGATTTCATGTTCCTTGGCAGCCTTTTCGGAAGGAAAGACGCGGGTTCAGCTGCTGAAATGATCGCGTGCGAGCCAGGCAGGCTGGAGAAAACTTTGCATGTTAAATAGCTGCATCGCAGAGGAGGGAAAGTGTCAAAAGGGGTCGCGGCTGGCTGGTGGACAGGCTCCCGGGCTAGGCATGGTGACACAGGCCAGCGATGGTGGGACAGCTCCGGGTATCCCACCTCTCTCCTCGCAGCTCCGGTATAGCCTCTGGTATACTTGAACCTTGATATCACACACACACACACACACACACACACACACACACACACACACACGCAGGCACCCACAGGCACAAATCAGGCGGTCTCGGTTCTGCTTTTGTTAGGATGTTTTGTTCACTATCTCTGGGAAAAACAGCTTCCACACCTCACCGGGCAATTTATTTCAGTGGTTTTTTCCCTCCCACATGGAAATTGAAGGACTTCAGTGGCATTTAACCCACATATCAAATCATCTTCCCCATGACAACAGATGGTGGTGTCAGTGGGGAATCAGTTGAGGTCAACAGTCGACAGTCAGGAGTTGGAGAGCCACCAGAACTTTATTTGGCTGTGCACGGTGCACCGGTTTAATGCAGGAAGTTAGAACCAATGGCTTTGCAAAAGCATAAACTGTGTAACTAGCCATTCCCACTGGGAGAAGGCTGCTCTTTCACGAGTCTTCATCTGGCAAGACACATCCCGATAAATGAAGTGTTGTCGAAGCTGCAAGGGGCAGACCAGGCTCTTTAATGCTAATGGGGAGAAAAGCAGGCTCTGGGCTGCGCTTGGCTGGAGGGGCACTGGGGGGTGATATTGTGTAACCGTGCATGGAAAGTTGCCCAGATTTCAAGCTGGCTGAAGTTTGTGCACTAACCTGTATGCAGAGCTGGAGAAAATCATTAATAATTAAAAAAAAAATGTCTTCATGGTATCTGGGAGATCTTCTAATGGGGAGGGGTAATAGAACTAATGTATGTTTTTATACTTAACCAGGGGCATTTGCCTCCCAGCCAAGCCTTAAAACCCCTTTCCAAGCTGTTGTTTACTAGTAAGTGGTGTCCAAGAAGCCAGATAAAAATCCACTCACAAGTGCTTGATGCCGCAGGAGACCAAGATGACAGTGTAAACAGGGATGGGAAAACCAAATAGTTCTGTTGTCAGGGGCGCTTAAACAATTAGGAGAGACCTGTAACTCGAGACGCTTCCCCTCGGGGGCTTGCTCTTGTTACTCTCTCAACAAACTGTAAACAGCAAAAAGGTGTGTGTGTGTGTGTGTGTGTGTGTGTGTGTGTGTGATGTATTGAAGGGTAAAGACAGAAGTTTAATCAATGTAACCCGAAGTATTTAGCTCTAGAATGAATAGAAGACTGTAATTTGAAAAGATTTGGCGTTCTTTGGCTCCATTCTTGGTTTGCTTGTTTATTCTTAGGCTAGTTTGACACCGTAGCCCAGCTTGACCTCGAACTCACAGTCCAGCTTGACCTCGAACTCACAGCCGAGGCTTGGTGCTGCAGGCAGTGGTCCTGCCGTGCAGGGCTCGGACAGGTGCTCGCTCCGAGGTCCCGCTGCTCCCGTCGCACCTCCCCTGGGCTCACTGCCTCGCTCTTTCCCGCAGCTCCGCCGCCGCACCGAAAGCCCGGCGCTCGGGAAACGCCGGGCCTGCGCGCGCAGCCGCTGCCC